TGATTCGAACTCGAAGTAATGTAGCCCGTAGGCATAATGGTTGAGTAAGTGCTTGCTCGAACTCGAAATAAAAGTAGCCCGTAGTCTTAGTAGTCGAGTGAATGATTCGAACTCGAAGTAATGTAGCCCGTAGGCATAATGGTTGAGTAAGTGCTTGCTCGAACTCGAAATAAAAGTAGCCCGTAGTCTTAGTAGTCGAGTGAATGATTCGAACTCGAAGTAATGTAGCCCGTAGGCATATTGGTCGAGTGAGTGCTTGCTCGAACTTGAAATTAAAGTAGCCCGTAGGCTTAGTAGTCGAGTGAATGATTTGAACTCGAAGTAATGTAGCCCGTAGGTATAATGGTCGAGTGAGTGCTTGCTTGAACTCAAAATAAAAGTACCCCGTAGTCTTAGTAGTTGAGTGAATGATTCGAACTCGAAGTAATGTAGCCCGTAGGCATAATGGTCGAGTGAGTGCTTTCTCGAACTCAAAATAAAAGTAGCCCGTAGGCTTAGTAGTCGAGTGAGTAATTCAAACTCGAAGTAATGTAGCCCGTAGGCGTAAGTACTTGCTCGAACTCGAAATAAAAGTAGCCTGTAGGCTTAGTAGATAGTCAATGAATGAGAATGGTTGCTTGAACTCGAGTCGGGGTAGCCCTTAGGCTTTGTATAATAGATCTCAAAAATAGAGGATTTTTTCTTGGATATAAGATATCGGTAAAGAAGAAATTTTTCTTTATAAGTCATTATACATGTGTTCATTTTTTTTTTCAAGTCTCGGAACAACTACATGGGCATGACTCGTTTGACCATTTGGCCCTTACAATGTTTTCTGTAGAGACACTGTTGCCATGAAATAACGAAGTAACTCCCTTTGCACCGAACTTGATAATCATCACAGATATGTTCAATGACAATGCTCCCCAGTATTCGAGGTTGATTATAAGGAGGCCTCAGATACCGTTGAATTGTTCTAAGTTAGTACGATCAATGGTTGCATCGTTAAAAAATCTTACCGAAAAACCTATTTGGGACAAAAACCATGTGCTCTGGCCTAAAGGCTTCGAGTTGAATAATCCGTCCATCTTTGGTCGAGCACTTGCAAGGGTTAGTTTCGAAATATGATTGAACAGAGGGGGGGTTGTACCTTAGCAGTAGTATCGTTTTAGGCATTACATATTCCAATTGCTTGGTGGTTGATTGCCATTTTATCAGACCGAGCTTGTAGGATTTCCGCTATATGGCCGGTATCGGTCTCTGGTCGACCTTTGGTTGGTAGTTCTTTTAGTAACAGATCTAGAAACCTACTAGTCGTCTTCGACTTTTATTTTGAATTAATATCGATTGTGCACATCGGCCCAAGTAATAGCTGGGTACTCGATCAGATTATGCTTCAGCCACCGTGAAGTCATCGAGCTTCATTCGTTTAGACCCTGAGTGAAAGCTTGAACAGCCCAATCGTCTGTGACTGGTGGCAGATCCATTCGTTCCATTTGAAAACGAGATATGAACTCCCTTAGCATCTCGTTATCCTTTTGTATTACCTTGAACAGGTCCAACTTTATGGTCTCGACCTTTTATGGCCCAGACATGTGCTTTTATGAAGCAATCTGCAAGCATAGAAAAAGAATCAAAAGAGTTAGATGGTAAATTATGATACCATATCATTGCCCCCTTTGACAAGGTTTCACCGAATTTTTTCAATAATACAAATTCGATCTCATCATTTTCTAGATCGTTTCCTTTAATGGCATATGTGTAAGAGGTGACATGTTTGTTGGAGTCGGTTGTCCCATTATACTTAGGAATTTCGGGCATGCGAAACTTCTTTGGGATTGGTTTAGGGGTCACGCTCGGGGGGAAAGGCTTCTGTATGAATGTTTTGGAATCTAAGCCTTTCAATATCGGGGGTGCCCCCGAGATTTGATCAACCCTGGAGTTGTACGCTTCCACCTTTTTGTTGTTTTGTTCGATCCGTTTTGTCAATTCTTCGAACATCTTAACAACTCCTGGATTAGTCCCTGATTCTTGTCCGTTTGACCTTGATACAACTGGCTCTGTTCTGTGGGTGATCTCTCGGGGTGGAGTGGGCTCCGGTCTGCTCGGTACCTGTGTTTGACTCTGCAACGGAGCTATTGCTACCTGTTGAGCTTGCAACATTTCGAAAATCATACGCAAGCTGATTCCGTTTTCCTCAATGTTATGGGTGTCTCGAGGTGCAGATCGAGTACCGTCATGAATGCTATTTTCAGGTTCAGAAAGTAGGTTTGCCTCAATAGCCACATGCGAATTGATGTCCATCGGTACTTCGATTCGAGCTCCAGCGGCGTTGACAATTTCGGTACTGGGTGTCAAGTTGTTGTTCTCATCTTGAGGACCAGCTTCGTTGTCGTTAGGTAAGGCCAATTGATTGATAGTTAATCGTTTCTAATCCGAAATCCAAGATACTTTCGGAAACAAGCGCAAAACGATGTGTTTTTGCAGATTCGTATCAAATAACCACTGTTATCCTTAGCCCTACGGTGGGCGCCAAACTGTTTACCCGAAAAACGGATAGAGTTGAATTTGTACGTAGTTATAAGGATATGTGGTATAGCTTAATACAACTCGTAAGGACAAATAGAAATATCAAATATGGATTACAAAGAATGCAAAATAAGCAAGGTTGGAAAGAGGATGATTTTTAGGACTAAGCAAAATAAATCAATTAATGAAGCCTAAACGAATAATCTTTCAATATAGGAGAATATGGTGCTGGTCGGTATCGCTTCTAGAGCTCGAAATCATCTCTTTATAGTTCGATTCGGACCCGAGCTCGATAATGACTTCGAACTCGGTGTTTGACCTATACCTGAAATCTGAAGCTCGTTCATACCATCTTCGGAACCCATCTTGATATTACGAAGTCTTTTTTCGATCCATTATATTTCGACCTCGATCAATCGTACGAAGACCGAAATCTATTTGACCGTATACACATTCATAAATCAGCAACTCAAGCCTAAACAACTTAAGAACTTTTCTTTCGTCAAACATCTTGAACCTTCCAAAGCACCTTCTTGCAATGATTATTATTTGACAAGAGTGATTTCTATGTATGTGTGAAATAACAATAGTGTTCAACAGCCGCAATGCGGTGCCTTTTATAGGAGTAAGTTGGCCGACTTATTCTTAAGTCAAAGGCGGCCCAACGAGTTTTGTGGCCTAAATCTAAACTTTACGAGGGGCCTTAACTTTTTTTTTCACAAAAAAAATATGATTTATTTGAAGTTTATTTTTCTAGCTTTTCTTAGATACAAACTTATTAATAAATTTTTTTAATCAATAACTCCTAATAAGTCTTTTTAATTGACAATATAGCTAATCCATTTAACCTTTCTTGAGAAATTATTAATCTTATGTAACATTTTATCAATTTTAATTTTAAAAACTTATTTTTGCTGAAGCGACGTTAACTAAAGTTATTAACATAATTCCATAAGCAATAAAGGCATTTGAAAGAGAATCAAATCTTTTTATTTGACTGAGTGTATTAATTAAATTGTTACCTTCTAATTGTAGTATATTTCTTCATACTTTTAATTCAGAAAATAAATCTAAACCATTAATATTGAATTGATTATTATGCTTTAAGGAACATTCAAGATTAAGGCAATATTTTTTTTTAAATTTTCATCTAGTGATCTTAATTTTTACCGCTAAATAGAAAATTAAAATATTTTCATATGCTTCGAATTGTTCAAATTTATTTTTGAAGTAAAAAAATAGCCTTGTCTACTATGCATAAAAGTAATCAACTCCAAAGGACTCTTCGAAAGATTTTAAGATTTATTATCAAATTGTTTGATTGTTTCTCATCAAATTGTTTATTTCTTTATATCACACGCGGGTTCAATATTCATTTCAAGTGTAATTTTCTTGGCAGACATCATAGCAATTGCAAATCATTCTTCTCTATATTTATTAAATAAAGAAATCATTTTTTTTATTTCATAGAACCTTTTTTTAAACTTATACATAGCCTATTAACTGTAACAAAAAATGGGGTATCCACAAATGTGGAGCCTAAAGCAGTTGCTTTACTTGCTTTATGGAAGGGTCGCCTGCTTCAAGTGATTGAATAATTTGGTTAAGGAAAATAATCTTATCAGGACATGATTTCCTCAAATATCTCAAACTTATTATACTCCTCCTTTTATGCAAGTGTAGCAATTAATGATGCTTTATTATACACAGGTTCCTTCGGGTAGTAACATGTTTGCAGCCCAAGCAACAAAACCTTCACGGAATCCTGCTTGCATTAGGAATTATAGTTTTATCTTCTAATCAACGCACTTCACGAACCTGGTTCTTTTAATATCTACTTGTCAGATATGCAACCCTTGTACGTTAAACAAATAACTTCAAGAGGCCTGGTTCGTAGACAATTATTTGTTAATCTATCAAAATTAGTTCTAAGCTCAATTCCACAAAAACAATTGGTTAATTTTGGTTAAGTACTACTAATCATAATTAAGTAAGGTGACAAGTGTTATTTGGTGCGGATAAGTTTTTACATAGTAAATAAAGAGAAAGAGAAAGACGTATTAGGTATAAGCCTCTGCACGATTCCTTATTTTATGCTAATCCTTTGTACTCCATCCGTTCAAATTTATGTAAACATGTTTGATTTGGCACGAATTTTAAGAAAAAATGAAGACTTTTGGAATTTGTGATCCTAAACAAGTCAAAAAGGGACCCAGAGTATTTGTGTGATTATAAAAGCTTCTCATTAATGGTAGAATTGTAAGTTTAAGCTAAATTATTTTCAAATTTAGAAATAGATCATTATTTTTGGAACAGACCAAAAAGAAAATATGTTCACGTAAATGGGAAATGAGGTAGTAATAGTTTAATGGCAATTTTCAGCGATGGCTAAAGAAACCATGTTACTACTTAATTACTGCCCCTTGATTTTTGAGCTCCTATATATTCCTTTCTTTGATTTACTCTAAGTAAGAAGTACCAATCATCTTTTATATCAACCTTCATCTAAATCACCTCCTAATATACCTTGATTTGAGCTCCTTCTCTTTCTATCTTCATTTCATTCCTTGAAACCACCATTCACCATTTATATACATCAACATTCATTTCGTTACTACCCTTTGATTTGACCTCCTCCTGTTGCTTAATTTCTTCTTTCCTTTGCTTGATACCATCAATCACAAAAATGGAAGTCGGGTATATCGCATCACCAGTAATTCTAGGACATGAGGACGAAGCGGAAACGCTCCTCAAGCGACTTGTAGGAAGACCAAAAGAATTAGACATTGTACCTATTGTCGGAATGCCTGGATTGGGCAAGACGACTTTAGCTACAAAATTGTATTCTCATGAAACTGTAATGGGGCATTTTGATGTCCGTTTATGGTGCTGTATTTCACAAGTGTATGACCGGAGAAAGGTACTATCAGAGATTTTGAAACGACTTGACAAGCAGAATACAGCAAGAGAAGAAAGTGATCCCAGCGAATGGGCCGATGAGCTACGCAAATTATTGAAAGGAAAGAGATATCTCATTGTAGTAGATGATCTGTGGAGCATTGATTCATGGGATGACTTGCGAACAATTTTCCCGGATGATAACAAGGGAAGTAGGATTGTTTTGACTACTAGGCTAAACGATGTCGCTTCCTACACCTCAAATAATCCTCACCATCTTCGACATCTTACAGAAGAAGAAAGTTGGGAGCTATTGAAGAAGACAGTATTCGAGGAAGAAAGTTGTCCCGATGAACTTGAAGAGATCGGAAATGAAATTGCAAGCAGTTGTTTAGGTTTACCTCTTGCAATAGTTTTGACAGCAGGGCTTCTTGCCAGGGGAGAAAAGGAAGTGGGTTACTGGAAAGAAGTCACTCTAAATTTGAGTTCAAACCTTTTTCATGATGCGAAATGGTTAATGGAGGTAATCGAATTGAGCTACAAGTATTTGCTTCATCATTTGAGACCATGTTTCCTGTACTTTGGAACATTTCTCGAGGATGAAGAAATACCAATATGGAAGTTGATACAATTATGGATCTGCGAAGGATTTATACCCCACAATGAGTTCATTGAGTTGACAAGCTTGGAACATGTTGCGACAAGTTACTTACTGGAGCTTATTGGGAGTAACCTTGTAACGGTTGCCAAAAGAAGTTCCTTGGGCAGACTCAAAGTTGTTCGTGTTCACGATCTCATACATCAGTTTTGCTCGAAAAAAGCTCAAGAAGAAATACATTTACTACAGATTTATGGGTAAGAAATATACTCTTCCTGATCCTTGGCTCTATTCTTTCTTCCTTAATTTTGCTTCTCATCTACTTACGTTATTGTTATTGGTAGATCCCGCAGTTCTGGCTATAATAATCCTCAAGTTGCAACTGATATGACTTCTTGGCGCATTGTTTGCTCTGATATACATAATTTTATGATGTGGAATCCTCCCACGGAAGGTACTCATTCTTTGCGCTTCACTGTCTCTAGTAGCGCCATCCGCTCAACAGAACAATTTGAGGACTCCTTAGAAGCTTTCAAATTATTAACAGTGCTGGATTTGGAGAATGTTAAAGTCATTGATTCATTTCCCCAAGGAATTCTACTCTTGATTCATTTAAGGTACCTGTCAATAAGTGGTGCTTTTCGTGAAGTTCCATCAGCTATAAACTTTCTTGTCAATTTAGAGACATTGATTTTGAAGAGTGTTGATCGCTGGGTTAAGCTACCAAAGACCATATGGGATATGGTTAACTTGAGGCATTTGCAACTATCTGGTATATCTCGTTTTTGGTGTTCATCTTTACCTGAAAATTCACAAAAACCTTCCCAATTAGGAAAGCTGGAAACTTTATGCACAGTTAGGTTTCATCTTCCTTATGACAACCCCATTATAAGTCATATACTACGTAATATTGTAAAATTGGTATGCGTGATCCGTGATGATGATTTCGAATCCCAGTCATGCCAACCAGTTTTTCAGTCTCTAGATCGACTGCAATCACTTTCTCTCAATTATTATAGTCATAATATTGCACTTTCTCGACGAGAGTTTGACTTCCCATCAACTCTCAGAAAATTGACACTGCTCTATTTCGACTTTCGCGATCCATGGAGAAGAATTTCGACCATTGGAGAGCTACCTAACCTTGAAAACTTAAATCTAGATAGTTGCCACATTGAGGAGGACAAGTGGGATGTCAATGTCGGGGAGTTTCGTAATCTTAATATCCTGAAACTACAGTCTCTGGGAATTGTCAAATGGAATGCCTCGGAGGATGCTTTCCCGAACCTCAAGCGGCTAGTGTTGCGTCATTGTGGTAAACTAGAAAGCATACCTTCTAGTTTTGAGAGCTTGTATTCACTACAGTTAATTGAAGTGGAGAATTGCAGCCAATCTAGCACGAATTCTGCTATGGAAATTAAGGAAACACAAATTGAAGAGATGGGAAATGCCCAATTCAATGTCATTATCTCAGATTCATGATGCAGCAACTAAGAGAAAGATTCTTGATCTGGTGATCTCATTACGTACGTAGTGGTGTCTACTACATACGGTATATTGACATTGGTGTAACCTTACGGTGGAAAGCCAATTTACTCGCTTTGCTTTCATTTGTTGTTTCGGTAGTGAAAGAATTAGATTCCGGTTGACGCAGATCCATGTCAAAATTTGATTTAATATATAGTTGACATATATTTGAATCTTAAAATTAATAAAGAGGAAGAGGCACGACGGTAGGACTCTTCCTAACGGTTGCATCGCTTAATTAGAGTATTAATTAAAAGAAGTTGGTGAGGAAACTCCCGCGCACAGAACTTGTATCCTTCTTCTCTTCTCAATTCCTTAGAGAGTTCTTGTGAAGATTCTCGTGAGGATTTCTTCCTCGAAAAGAATTAGAATAGTCTTCTGTAACAAGGTACGATTTTATAGATTCTGAGCTTTTTCGGTATATACATGTAATTGCACTATTTGACTAGTGAAACAAATGTAAATGGATCTTTTCAAACTATGCCTTCTTAATTGTTGTTTTTCTTCATTGGTTTTCTTCCTACTCTATATCTTCATTCTTTCGTGACATTGCGGTGACAAAGCCAAGCCAACTGTAGACGACAATGACACTGGAAAAAGGAGTCCGAAACCTAATTGTGGTGTTTTTGGACTCAAGCGACTAAAATAGGTAAAAAAAAAAAATAATAATAAAAAAAAATAGGCACCATTTTATATATAGCGCGGTGAATAACGGCACATTTGTCCGTTAAGATATAGTGCGGTGAATAGCCGCGCTATATTTGAACTTAAAATAGGCGGGAAAGTATAGCGCGCATAAATACCGCACTATACTATAGCGCGTATATATGCGCGCTATACCTATATAAAAANCCCCCCATTTTTTAACGAAAAAAGCTCGGTTGGAGCCCACCGGTCCTACAAAAATTGTAGATTCTCGGTATTGTAGCAAGCTAACATCGTATCTAATGCGTTATTGCGTAGTGAGTTACTCGTTTCGGCTCCAAATCATCAAATCTTCAACTTTAAAAAAAAATTAAAATTGAGGTATTCCGACTTATTTTTTGTTAAATCTCATGTATAAAAAATGCCTATTAGTTATTTTTACTGTGTTCTATATTATTTCGTGATTGTTTTTGCGATTTAATTAATTTATTATTTTTTATCCGGATTATATTATTAGTGTGCTAAAAAAATTAGTAAAATTGAGAAATTGTATTTATGAATAATTAATGTTTTTAGTTGTTATAAAAAAAATGGTAATTAGTTATTTTTTACTGTGGTATATGTATTTTCGTGAATGTTTTGTGATTAAATTAATTTATTATTTTTTATCGAGATTAGATTATTTATGTGCTAAAAGATTAGTACAACAACAACAACAACAACAACAACAATAACGACCCGGTATAATAATCTCACTAGTGGGATTTGGGGAGGGTAGTGTGTACGCAGACCTTACCCCTACCTTGGGAGTAGAGAGGCTATTTTCAATAGACCCTCAGCTCCCTCCCTACAAGAACTCCCTATCTTGCTCTTGGGGTGACTCGAACTCACAACCTCTTGGTTGGAAGTAAAGGGCGCTAAACACTAGTGGATAAATTGTTAGTAAAGTAGATAAATTATTATTTTAGGAATAATTAATCTTATTTAGATGTTATTGTTGTACATATATTAATATGTGACTTTAATGTTGTTTAGTTCCATGTAATGTTATGTTGTGTCCGTAATTGTAATGTAGTGCACTTTAGCGTAATAAAATGTAGTGCCCTTTTGTGTAGTATCTTTATAGTTATTGAAATTAATCATTTAATTATCTGTTAGCCTAATAAATATCTAAAAAAGATGATAGTTCAAACATAAACTCGCTCGAATTCTAGTAAACAAACGTAAGAAAATAACATTAAAAAGCAACAATATTTGTCAAAGTATTTTTATATGAATATTTAATAATTAAAGCATCTATTGTTATGAAAATTATTTATTTAATTCTATTATACTAAAACATAAGTGACTAAGAAAACTAACATATATAATAATAAAGTAACATATAAAATAAGAAACAAACATATAAAATAAGAAACTAACATATAAAATAATAAACATACATATAAAATAGTAAACTAACATATAAAATAATAAAGTAACATATAAAATAATAAATTAACATATAAAATTATAATATAGAAAATGTATCAACCTAAGTAACAATTTAGTAAAAATATCGAATAAATTTTGATATTAAAGATATTGCAATATATTTAAAGATGTTAAGCAATTAAAAAAAAATACTTTGATTAATGTTGTTCAATTTATAGTCATCGTCATGAAGTTTCTGCTTGTGCATCCCGGACCTACATCGCTAGAGCTACTGTTGCTACATGCCGAGCATAGGTCTTCATACATATGGGATGGGAAGTGTTTGTCCCAGACATTCCGCGGTAGACGTATAGACGATATGTGAGAGTTTATTAGGGCCCACGCACTCCATCCATGTATAGTTAGACGCCTTCAGGATACGGGTTTCTACAGGATCATAGAGATCGGCCGGTTGCAGTTCAACTGGGCGTTGATCACGGCTATGATAGAGCGGTGGCGACCGGATACGCACACGGTTCATCTACCCATCGACGAGGCTACCATCACGCTTGAGGACGTGGAGGTTCTTTTTGGTCTGCCGGTTAATGGACTACCTGTAGCTTACCCGCATGCTCTTAGAGAATATACGGGATTGCATTACCTGCAGATGTTGCAGCGGCTCACCGGTTTCCAACCAGCGGAGGAGGCTACATTGAGTGGGGCCAGTCGTTTGCAGTTGACGCCCGTCCGGCAACATCTGGAGGCGATGGATGCGGGCATTGCGGATGATTCTCTGGCAGAGGTTATCGACCGGTACATGAGATTGTTGATGTTGCTGATGTTTGGTGGTGTATTATTCCCGAACACTCTGGGAAACCTAGTCACCTTGAGATTTCCTCATCATCTTGAGCGGTTAGATGATTTACCTAGTTACAGCTGGGGTGCAGCTGTTTTAGGTTACCTGTATAGGCAGATGTGCCGGGCGAGCATGGGCACCTAGAGAGACGTTGCCGAATTTTTGCCGCTGCTGCAAGTGAAAATATAGTCAATTCATTTCATGATTATAACATATATAGTAAAATAATAACTTAAATTTTACGTCCACAATGTATATTAGGTTTGGGCCTGGGAGTGGTTCCTGCAGTTCCAGCCACCTCTACCACCTATCACTCCGGATGCACCACCTCCACAGTTTCTCTCTTTAGCTAGGAGGTAGGTTGATAGGCAAGGCTACAGATGGGAGGTCGAGGCTCGACATCATCTCCCCTATTAGAGGGATTTGTTGGATTTGCTTGAAGGCGCGCAGGTACATGTATACTTAAGTTTACTTGGCCTGGTTTTATATGTGTTGCATTTACTCACGATTTTTGTGTTTAATTAATAGTTTATATGATGGCAGCGACGCACTCATAGCTGGTTTGCCCGATTATTTCTCCCATGAATAAGCTATGTGGAGCTCTTCTGTCCCACCGATATGTCTCGATATTGTCGAGCATCATACCACCGAACGAGTCCTTCGCCAGTTTGGTCGACTGCAGCTTGTACCTATTCCACCCGCTTGGCTTAGGACACATTACCAGCGGGATGATTGTTCCAGGTTTGACCAGACATACATGGACTGGCTAGAGGCCCAGATTCAGGTTTAGGACCAGAGGTATGACCTGATTCCTCCACCCCCTACACCTGAACGTATGGATGGTGAGCATGAGCATATGGGCTGGTACCGCAGCGTTACCCAACTTCATGTCGGGAATCCCGTTCATCGCGCTGGTGGTCGGTATATTCAATACGTTGGGAGGCATGAGGCACTGGTATGTTATTTGTTATACTTAATTATAATGTTAAATTATTTGACATTTTATACAGGTTATTGGATTACATCAGTTCTACCAGCTAGGACTGTAGATGATGCAGTATACCGGCGAGGGAGCGGCAACTTTGCACGAGTATGGCCATCAGGTTATAGATCTGACTGCCCAGACATCGAGGCGTGCCCGAGATGATAAGTGATTAGGATACGAGGCTGCTTATGTGCCGCCATAGGACTACCATCGGGTGCCACCAGTGGAGCCTGAACGTGGTAGACGTGGAAGGCGTGGTCAGAGAGGAAGGGGTGTCCCGCGAGGTCGTGGTGGCCGGCGAGGACGAAGTCCCCCGCAAGGGGGCGTTGAGGCACCCGTGGAGGATATTAGAGATGATCAGCCAAGTGACCACCCTGAGCCACACGATGCTCCTCATGATATGTCGTCATTCAGCCTTCAGCTATCGCCAGGGACTTCACAGTTGGCCCCGTCAGCTCCATTGTTGATCGCGGGCACGACCATTACGCAGCAAGAGTGGAATCAGTATTTTTCTGATCGACCAGGGACATCGACGGTTACTGAGGATCGTCCGATACGAGAGTTGCATAGTAGGCGACGACTGAGTTATGGCTCATCATCGAGGGCTGCTAAGGATGTTTCACATACTTCATCTACTCCAGTGCACCCCGATGTTCTAACATAGCAGTGTGTCGCTACTCCGGCATAGGTTTACTTTTATTACTATTATTTCTATTTGTTTTTATCTCATTAATTAGTCATCAGTATCTAAAGCGTTTTTATTTTTTTTAAAAACATCACCATCGCCCGTCACGGAGGCCACTTTGTGCGATACTGACATGCCGGACACAGATGATTTGATTCAGGAGCCCACCGAGACCATGGTATGACCATTAAATATTTTTAGCTAACACGTACGTTAGTAATTTATATTTCATATACTAAAATATCTTCTTATTCCGTAGGTTACTGCTGGACCGATGACTGCTTCTACCGAGTCTGCCAGCTTTACCGACGATCATGCTGCAACGCATCCTCCGATAAAGAGGCGACGCGATGAGGATGATCCTGATAGCGTAGCCGGGCGAGATGGGATGCGCCTCAGGCCAGCCAATGCTTTAAAGCATACAGGTTGTGGGACACATTGACATTTATTATCATCTGTATATATGCATTAAATATATAATAGTAATATTATCTATGTTTTACATAATTTACGCATGTGTTTTTGTTTCTTGGGTTATTTATTAGTTTAATACTACAACACAAAAAAAATGACAACTTATCATAATTTAAATTCGGTAGAATTAATGATAATACATGACACGTAAAACATAAAGATAAAATACTATACTCAACACATCCATGTATTTATTTAGTCACTATCGCCCATTATTCTGTGCTTCAACCACTTAAATTTCTCTTCTAACCTATTTTTTTCTTCTTCTGCCTCTTTTAGTTTCTCCTTTACTGCCGTAAGTTGTTGTTGTAGTTTAAAGATCTGGAGTTCGTATTCACCGGTCATATTCCAAACATAGTGCAAACATGATTTATAGTATTCCTGGTCAATGGGTTCATCATATCATTCTTGAAATTCACATTGATTTTCGTCCTACCAATGAGGATTATAAAACAATACTATTAATTAACATGTTATATAAAAAATATTAACAAACGTTTTTTCTAATATAATAACTTAAAAGTTGTTGACAGATCCAGCGTCTGCGCCCCAGATTGCAATTTGACCAACATGGCTTCAAAATCGCACGTTTACCACAATAATACCTTGGTACGTCATTGCGTCCAGATATTTCGTAATGCAAGAAAAATGAAAAATTAATGGAAAGTTTTTCTATTTGTTTCGTTAAGCGCAAATAATAACTAAAATGCGTTAGGCTTTTATAGGCAGCTAATACACATAACACATATTGGTGGCGCGCTATGTTTCGCGTGATAATGATTCTTTAGGGTATAGGACAACTTTTCCAGAACGAAAGCTTTTTCAGGTCGACAAGATAATACACATAACGCATACTGGTGGCGCGCTATGTTTCCCGTGCTAATGATTCTCTGGTGGCGCGCTTTCGGCCAAATATGAATTTTACAAGTTATGAACCAACGACTAGTTGGAAATTGGTGTGTTGGATCATGGTGGTCCATCCGGGTGTCATCATCAACAGGATAATGTGCATCATAGGATATCAACACACTATGATTTGTAAGTGAAGTGATAAAGTGTATATGTAAAGTTTGGATGAATTTGAGAAACTCATTTTTTATTGGTTGTGCAGTGAAAACGAGCAACTTGAAGGTCATGTCCTTACTCAATTTCCCTAAGACGACGTATTTAATTGGGATCTGGCAGATGCGCAGAGTCAGGAAGATAATAGTGATTATGACAACAATATTGATGAGTCTGGAGATGACACACCCTTCCCTGATGAGGGTGATGATGACCATGACGAGAATGCTGAACCTGATTTGACGATGGAGCATGCTCCACCTACCATTAGACCAAGAGTATACGAGTCCCATGTGCCATTTCATTCAAGGGAGATTCCCTACCTTAATCATTTGCCAAGTATGCCGGATGTGGATGCCCTCACAAGGGATCTTGACGAAATTCGGACAGCAATGTAGGATGAATCTAGAGCAACGGTGTTGTCAAAGGGCATGCTTTTGCTGATAAAGCATGCCTAAGCAGGGTGGTGTGAATGTACAGCATAAAAGAGTGTCATGAGATCGTAGTTCATGAGTCATCTCCGAAAGTATACACGGTTATTTATCGTAGATGGTTTCAAGGTTGTAATTGGATGCTGCGTGCGAGGAAGTTGAGTGGGTAAATACATCTGCACCCACAATTGTGAAACGGACACATTCAGTGGGAATCATTTTAACTTGAATGTTGACTTGATTTCTCTTGTCTTGATTCCACACATTGAAGCGTCCATAAGGTACAAGATCAAAGAGTGTATAATATATGTCTACCAGGTATATGGATGTGACATTACTAAAAGAAAGGCATTTCTCGGGTGCAAACGTGCGTTTGAAATTGTTTATGATAACTGGGATAAGTCCTTTGCTTCTCTACCCAGGTACATGGCCACATTGCAATACTTTAACCCCGGGACTGTTGTTGAATGGAAACTTGAGCGGAGTCTGAGAATACCAGATATGTGTTCTGGCCATTTAAATCAGCCATTGATGGTTTTGTGCATTGTCGGCCGGTAATATCCATAGATGGCACTCATGTCTATGGAAAGTATGATATTAAGTTGTTGATCACCATTGTAGTAGATGCTAATGGAATTATATTTACCCTAGCATTTTCTATTTGTGCAAATGAAAGCCATGAGACGTGGACATTATTTTTTAACTACTTGAAGGAGCACGTTGTCAGACAACGTTCATGTATTTGTCTAATATCTGATCGGCATGACTGTATTTTAAGTTCTGTATAGAATTTGCGTGCATGGCAAGAACCGTATGCCTACCATCGTTACTGTGTGAGGCACCTGAAGGCCAACTTCCAGAGGGATTATCCGAACAAAGACTTGCATGATTTAATGTGGATGGCTGCAATAGATCACCAAGAGTTTAAATTCAGGAGGGAAATAGAATTGATCAGACAGGAAGACCAAGGAGACTATAGTTGATTGATGCGACATGAGCTTGACAAGTGGATTTTGCATGCAGATGGTGGAATAAGATGGGGAATTCTGACTACAAATATGTCAGAATCTTTCAACGCGTTATTGAAGTCTGCACGTGGATTGCCTGTCACTGCCACGGTGCGGATGTCATTCAAGCAGATGGCAGAGAGGTTTGTTGAAAGATCTAGAGGTGCATCGTCATTGATGGAAATGGGTGTTGAATTTATGCTGTCACGACCCAATTTCAACTATAGGTCGTGATGGCGCCCAACACAATAGCTAGGCAAGCCAAGTTAATAAATTAAGCATATATTGACAAAATTTAAAACTAAGCAAATAATAAAACCCAAATTCTACCAAGGTGTGTGCCAAGACCTGATGTCACAAGTGTATGAGCATCTAGTAGATTATACAAAACCTCAAATACTGTCTGAAATAAAATAGACAGAATGAAAAATATAAGGAGAGACACTGGTAGCTGCAGAACGGCTCATAAAGACAGCTCACCACCATGTCCCTAGATAGCG